CCCTCCTCGCGTGTCAATTCTTTCGTCGGTTTTCGTCGTTTGCGCCCCCCCCCCCTTCTCCAAAGCGAAGCTTGAGCGAGCTCAAGCCCACGCCCTCAGAAACTCACACGCTGGATCGTCGGATACATCATCATCTATGTAGATCTGGGTTCATGCATCTCTCTCTCTCTCTCTCTCTCTTCCCTCCCTGACTCCGGATCCGCCCTACTTTGGGGAAGTTCGTAAGTAGGGCTTGGAATTTCCGCCTTACTTTTCAAGCCCCGCTGATGCCAATTTCCGCCCTTTTTTTCTGTTGCCGTTTCCGCCCTACTTCTGTGGATTTCCGCCCTATTGTATGTTGGGTGCCTACTATTTCGGCTTCGTATCGGTGGATTCCCGACGCAATTGTAAGTTGGAAAAAAGCCAAAGCAGGACGGATTTGGAGTCAGGGCTCTCTCTCTCTCTCTATATATATATATATGTATGTATGTCTCTCTCTCTCTCTGCCGGGAGGCAGGGTCCGGGGGGCTCCCCGCCAGCTGCCCCGACTCGCCGCAGGCGCGCCGGGGCCTCCAGGAGAGCCGCGCCTCCGAGGTCCCCCTTTTGCCAGCTGCCCCGTCTCGCCACGGGCGCGCCGGGCGTCCAGGAGCCCCCTCTGGCTCCAGATCCGCCCTGCTTTTCAAGCAGTGGCGAAGCGTCCTGGCTCGCCTATAGCCCTATCAAGCAATGTTCTAAGAACCTCTTGTGGTTCCCACGAGATGTTCTCAGAACATTTCTGGCTGGGACTGTCTTGTTTTAACACATCGGGTTTATGTTCTAAGAACCTTGTTTTTGTTCTCAGAACTTTTTGGGGTTCTAAGAATATTTCGTGGTATGACTATCGGTCGGTCCCTGCTCAAACTTTGGCTTCTTTCCACCTTAAAATTGCGTCGGACGTCCATCTATAAGAGGCCGAAAAAGTAGGGCGGAAGGTTCTGCACCCAACATATAACATGTGGCGGAAATCCACAGAAGCAGGGCGGCAACAGCCACAGAAAAGTAGGACGGAAATTGGCATCAGCGGGGCTTGAAAAGCAAGGCGGAACTCATTCCGAGCCTTACTTACGAGCTTCCCCAAGGTAGGGCGGATCCGGAGTCAGGGTCTGCTCGGGCCGGACGGAAGGGGGGATTGGGAAAGGGGGGGGTACGAAATTTGTTGCGTGCAGCTGGTTTCGGCCCCACCGAGGGGCCCATTCCTCGATACGTAGCCGCCTCCCGGCGCCGGGAGGCGCCAGGAAAATCAGCCACGTGAGCTGATTCTCAAAGCCCCCCTTTGCTATCCCCCCCCTTCGCCCAGCCCGGTCTTCTCAGGGGGCCACATGCGAACCCGACCCCTACCCTCCACGATGTCTGAGGGCAAGGGTGGGGCCCTCCCTGCCCCCTGCGAGACGGCCCCCTCCAAGAGAGCCCCCGACCGCCTGAGTCTGGCCCTCGGACGGATGCAGACGCCCAGAGATGTTCAGAGGCGCCCCAGGAGGCTTCCAAGAGGCTCCCCCAAAAGGTCCGCAGCCATTTTGGCTCCAGCTTTTCGGCCCTAGACTTGGCCCGAGCATCCCAGAGCGAACCACGGGCACGACGCGCTCGCGTGCTCACCCGAGCAGGAGTCTGCCAGAACCACTTCCAGTGGGCACGATGAGCACGCTTCAGCCTGCGGGGGACGCCTCTGCGTTCTTCGCGAACGCAGGAGTGCCCCCTGCGCTGAAGCCCGCCGCCGGCTGCACGAGCATCTTAGGGGAGCAAAAAAGTGCATAAGCATAAAAACTCGGAGGTCCGCGCGGATTTCTCGGATGGGCGCTGGGGCCCGCCGGCGGCGCCTTCGGCGCCGCCCCCGGCGCGCTCCGCGCGCCAGGGAGGGGGGTCCAGCTCCGATCCGAGAAATCCGCGCGGACCTCCGAGTTTTTTATGTTTACAGTGAGCGGCTTGAATAAGGAACGCTTATTTTTCAAAAGGGGCTCGGTCGTTCCTCTGTATTATTTGTTCATCGTTCCCTATGCGTTATTCCTTGGAAGAAAGGGGCTTCGTTCCTTATTTATCGTTCCTTAGGTCAGGCCGATGACTGTATGCCACTTTCTGCTCCCCTACATCTGCAGCAGCGGCCATGGGACTCCCCGCCAGGGCCCCCTCGAGCAGCCCACGCACGGAGCCGCCGCCAAGCCTGGTGGGAGCCCCACTGCGCTGCCGGACCCCTTCCGCGCCGCGGAGGGCTCCCTGCTGTTCCGGCGCGCGGTGTCCACGGCCTCCACGGAGTTCACGGCGTCCACCGACTTCCACCGGTTCCTGTCTGAGGACGACGGCTTCACGCCGTTCGCCTCTCCGCTCCTTGGCTCGCAGCGGTGGCCGCAGGAGGATCTGGCCGAGCTCCCCGCGTGGCGCCTGCAGGACGTGCGCCTCTCCGACGCGGGCGGCGCGAAGTGGGCAGCCGCCGGGGCCAGTTGCCCGCTCGCCGAGGGCCTGGAGGAGGCATTCGACGACGTCAAGGCCCTCTTCCGGCAGAAGTTCGGCATCAACGTGGATGAAGAGGAGGAGGACGAGAGCCTGTTCGAGGACGCGGACGGCACCAAGTGGCAGGTGACCGAGGGCCGCGGCTTGCTCACCGGCCTGGAGCACAGGCTGGAGGACCTGAAGGGCTTGTACAAGCGCAAGTTTGGCCTGGACGTGGACGAGGAGGAGGACGAGAGCCTGTTCGAGGACGCGGACGGCACCAAGTGGCAGGTGACCGAGGGCCGCGGCTTGCTCACCGGCCTGGAGCACAGGCTGGAGGACCTGAAGGGCTTGTACAAGCGCAAGTTCGGCCTGGACGTGGACGAGGAGGAGGACGAGAGCCTGTTCGAGGACGCGGACGGCACCAAGTGGCAGGTGACCGAGGGCGCGGCTTGCTCACGGCCTGGAGGACAGGCTGGAGGACCTGAAGGGCCTGTACAAGCGCAAGTTCGGCCTGGACGTGGACGAGGAGGAGGACGAGAGCCTGTTCGAGGACGCGGACGGCACCAAGTGGCAGGTGACCGAGGGCCGCGGCTTGCTCACCGGCCTGGAGGACAGGCTGGAGGACCTGAAAGGCCTGTACAAGCGCAAGTTCGGCCTGGACGTGGACGAGGAGGAGGACGAGAGCCTCTTCGAGGACGCGGACGGCACCAAGTGGCAGGTGACCGAGGGCCGCGGCTTGCTCACCGGCCTGGAGGACAGGCTGGAGGACCTGAAAGGCCTGTACAAGCGCAAGTTCGGCCTGGACGTGGACGAGGAGGAGGACGAGAGCCTCTTCGAGGACGCAGACGGCACCACGTGGCAGGTGACCGAGGGCCGTGGTTTGCTAGTTGGCCTGGAGGACAGGCTGGAGGACCTGAAGGGTCTGTATAAGCGCAAGTTTGGCCTGGACGTGGACGGGGAGGAGGACGAGAACGATAGCCTCTGCGAGGACGCGGACGGCACCAAATGGCAGGTGACAGAGGGCCGCGGCTTGCTCACCGGCCTGGAGCACAGTCTGGAGGACCTGAAGGGCTTGTACAAGCGCAAGTTTGGCCTGGACGTGGACAAGGAGGAGGACGACAGCCTCTTCGAGGATGCGGACGGCACCAAGTGGCAGGTGACCGAGGGCCGCGGGTGCTGACGGGCCTGGAGGACAGGCTGGAGGACCTGAAGCCTGTACAAACGCAAGTTCGGCCTGGACGTGGACGAGGAGGAGGACGAGAGCCTCTTCGAGGACGCGGACGGCACCAAGTGGCAGGCGACCGAGGGCCGCGGCGTGCTGACGGGCCTGAAGGACAGGCTGGTGGACCTGAAGGGCCTGTACAAGCAAGTTCAAGGACGAGAGCCTTTCGAGGACGCGGACGGCACCACGTGGCAGGTGACCGAGGGCCGCGGCGTGCTGACGGGCCTGGAGGACAGGCTGGAGGACCTGAAGGGCCTGTACAAGCGCAAGTTCGGCTCGGACGTGGACGAGGAGGAGGACGAGAGCCTCTTCGAGGACCCGGACGGCACCACGTGGCAGGTGACCGAGGGCCGCGGCGTGTTGACGGGCTTGGAGGAGGCTCGAGGACCTAAAGGGCTGTACAAGCGCAAGTTCGGCCTGGACGTGGAGGAGGAGGACGAGAGCCTCTTCGAGGACGCGGACGGCACCAAGTGGCAGGTGACCGAGGGCTGTGGTCCACTCGCAGCTCTGGTGGAGAGGCTGCAGGACATCAAGGCCTTGTACAAGCGCAAGTTCGGTCTGGACGTGGACGAGGAGGAGGACGAGAGCCTGTTCGAGGACGCGGACGGCACCAAGTGGCAGGTGACCGAGGGCCGTGGCTTGCTCACCAGCCTGGAGGACAGGCTGGAGGACTTGAAAGGCCTGTACAAACGCAAGTTCGGCCTGGACGCGGACGAGGAGGAGGACGAGAGCCTCTTCGAGGACGCGGACGGCACCAAATGGCAGGCGACCGAGGGCCGCGGCGTGCTGACGGGCTTGGAGGACAGGCTGGAGGACCTAAAGGGCCTGTACAAGCGCAAGTTCGGCCTGGACGTGGACGAGGAGGAGGACGAGAGCCTCTTCGAGGACGCGGACGGCACCAAGTGGCAGGTGACCGAGGGCCGCGGCGTGCTGACGGGCCTGGAGGACAAGCTGGAGGACCTGAAAGGCCTGTACAAGCGCAAGTTTGGCCTGGACGTGGACGGGGAGGAGGAGGACGAGAGCCTGTTCGAGGACGCGGACGGCACCAAGTGGCAGGTGACCGAGGGCCGTGGTCGGCTGACTGGCTTGGAGGAAAGGCTGGAGGACCTGAAGGGCCTGTACAAGAGCAAGTCCGGTCTGGACGTGGACGAGGAGGAGGACGAGAGCCTCTTCGAGGACGCGGACGGCACCCAGTGGCAGGTGACCGAGGGCTGTGGTCCACTCGCAGCTCTGGTGGAGAGGCTGCAAGACATCAAGGCCTTGTACAAACGCAAATACGGTCTGGACGTGGACGAGGAGGAGGACGAGAGCCTGTTCGAGGACGCGGACGGCACCAAGTGGCAGGTGACCGAGGGCCGTGGTCGGCTCACCAGCCTGGAGGACAGGCTGGAGGACTTGAAAGGCCTGTACAAGCGCAAGTTCGGCCTGGACGTGGACGAGGAGGAGAAGGACGAGAGCCTCTTCGAGGACGCGGACGGCACCAAGTGGCAGGTGACCGAGGGCCGCGGCTTGCTCACCGGCCTGGAGCACAGGCTGGAGGACCTGAAGGGCCTGTACAAGCGCAAGTTCGGCCTGGACGTGGACGAGGAGGAGGACAAGAGCCTCTTCGAGGACGCGGACGGCACCAAATGGCAGGTGACCGAGGGCCTCGGCGTGTTGACGGGCCTGGCGGACAGGCTGGAGGACCTAAAGGGCTTGTACAAGCGCAAGTTCGGCCTGGACGTGGACGAGGAGGAGGACGAGAGCCTGTTCGAGGACGCGGACTGCACCAAGTGGCAGGTGACCGAGGGCCGTGGTCCACTCGCAGCTCTGGTGGAGAGGCTGCAAGACATCAAGGCCTTGTACAAGCGCAAGTTCGGCCTGGACGTGGACGAGGAGGAGGACGAGAGCCTGTTCGAGGACGCGGACGGCACCAAGTGGCAGGTGACCGAGGGCCGTGGCTTGCTCATCAGCCTGGAGGACAGGCTGGAGGACTTGAAAGGCCTGTACAAGCGCAAGTTCGGCCTGGACGTGGACGAGGAGGAGGACGAGAGCCTCTTCGAGGACGCGGACGGCACCAAGTGGCAGGCGACCGAGGGCCGCGGTCCGCTCACGGCCCTTGAGGAGAGGCTGCAAGACATCAAGGCCCTGTACAAGCGCAAGTACGGCTTGGACGTGGACGACGCGGCCGATGAGGCTGTCTGCGGCTCCCCGGCAGTGGAGGACCAGCCCGACAGCCTGAAGGCCGTGCTCGCCAAGGGCGGGGTACTCGGCGGCGGCGGGCTCGGCCGCGGATTCGGCATCGAAGGCCGCGTGGCACAGGTGGGCTGCCACACCTGGTGTGGCTGCATGTGACCAGGCGGGGCGCGCGTGCGAGGAGGCCCCCCCCTGGCTTCGCGTCCGCGGGCCAGCGCTGCGGCAGCTCGGCCTTCTGCTCCTCCGCCCTCCTCTCATCCCTCCTCCCTGCTTCTCTCCCCTCCCTTCCTCCCGCTCCTGGCCCCCTCGGGCATGCCTCGGGAGCGGAGGCTCGAAGCCCTGCTCCCTGCCCGCCCTCGTGCCCCCGCTGCAGGGTGCCCGGGAGCCTTTCGGACGGACGCCCGGTCCGGCTTCCCCAGGGCGGACGGGCGCTCTCCGAGTCCGAGGTCGAGCCTACACTCACACCGGGCCGCCCCTGCCCAGCGAGTTCGGCGCCAGCATGGGCTATTCTGAATGGCGCCTTTCGTGCGCCGCCGTCGTTTGAATCCTGAGTCTTTAGAGTTAAGTCGGGCGTGTCCTCCTACAGGGGGGATGTTCAAAAATTAGTCTAAAAATAGTTTGGGGACGATGTTCCACTATTTTTGAAAATGTTTGGTGTATTTGTTGACCATTGTTTCGTCCAAAATCCGCCTGTAGGGGGACACACCCGACTTAACTTTAGAGTTTCATTGTTACTTTAGATACATGTTTGAACGTACAGCTATGCAGCAGGTGAGTCGCCCATCCTCTGCGGATGCTGAGGGGGCCGCGCCTGCAACATTTAACGCTGTCATAGTGTCGCAATGCTTTGCCTCAGCTCGCGTCTGTCGCTGTACCTATCTTCGTTTTATCGTTTTCCTCATCCTCCTACCTCTGTATGCGCAGTTGAGTCGACTTGATGGCGGCGCTGCCCATTTCTCTCGGGTGTGCAGGTGCCCGCTTGTTTCAAGGGCCAGTGTGACGTCACTGGCTTGTGTAAATGGCACTAGACAGTTATCGCGTTCTGGAATTCGACACCCACGTGCGCGCCGCAGTGCGCAGGAGCTCCCGCCCTGCCCGCACCCCACGAAGGGGAGACAATTGGGGTGACCTTACGGTGGGGGCCCATGCCAAGAAACACCCTGCTTGCCTCCAGGGTGCCCTGGGATTCTTGGGTTTCGATTGATTTGCTGTGGAGAGCGTGCCGTTCCCACACCAACAAAAATCCATGGACGTCCTGGGGTCTCAGGGTTGGGTTTCTTGTGGAAGGTTTCTTGTGGACTGGCATCCACTGTATCAAAGGATTCCTTATCTCCTCCCCCTCCTCCTCCTCCTCCTCCTCCTCCTTCTCCTCCTCCTCCTCCTCCTCCTCCGCCTCCTCCTCCTCCTCCTCCTGCTCCTGCTCCAGCTCCTGCTAATGCTCCTGCTCCTCCTGCTCCTGCTGCTCCTGCTCCTCCTCCTCCTCCTCCTCCTCCTCCTCCTCCTCCTGCTCCTGCTCCTGCTCCTGCTCCTCCTCCTCCTCCTCCTCCTCCTCCTCCTCCTCCTCGGACCCCAACTGTACGGAGGGGGGATGGGGGAAGGGGGGGCGGGACCCGGTGGCGGCCTTCCGGGCCGCCTCGGGCGGCGACACGGCCGACCTCTCAAGGGTCGTGCTGGTGTACATACAGAGCACAGGAGCGGCGCCTGCCCAGCGGCGCCAGGGGAGGGTGGGAGGAGGAGGAGGAGGAGGAGGAGGAGGAGGAGGAGGAGGAGGAGGAGGAGGAGGAGGAGGAGGAGGAGGAGGGGAGGAGGAGGGGAGGGGGAGGGAGAGGGGAGGAGGAGGAGGAGGAGAGGAGGAGGAGGAGGAGGAGAGGAGGAGGAGGAGGAGGAGGAGAGAGGAGGGAGGAGGAGGGCGAGGCTGGGGGGGGAGGAGGGAAGGGACCTGAGGTCTGGGGCAGGCGCAGCACAGTCTGCTGCCCGATTCCAGGGCCCCGCCGTGCCGATGATTGGCGGCATGGCCTGGCCCTGTCTCTCTCGGAGTCTCGCGGCCCGTTTCGGGCGGCACGCTGATGCAGTGGAGACCCGTGCCAAGAAACCCTGCTTGCCTCCAGGGTGCCCTGGGTTTCTCGGGCGTCGATGGTTTTGCCATGGAGAGCCTGACGCTCCCACACCCCAAAAACATCACGGACGTCCTGGGGTCTCAGGGTTGGGTTTCTTGTGGAAGGTTTCTCGTGGACTGGCCTCCACTGTACAGACCGATTGCCCCATTTGGTCTTCGGGCGGAGTCGGCGTCGGCACATCGTCTCGAGCTTTCTCTCGTTTGAGCTGCCCACGGGGCGCCGTCGGCGGCGTTTCGTGTAGGGCTGGCTCCTCCCTCCTCCCACGGCCTGTGCAGCCAGACCATTCTAGGGGTGGGTCTGGGAGGGTACGATAACAAGTAGGCTGTGTCTACGTTCCATGCTCCTGGATGTGTTTACCTTTGGCGTGGGCTGCGCTGGCGCTGGGAGGCAGACTTTCAACGAGCAGCAGAGAGCTCGAGCTCTGTCGTTCTACATACCGGGCGGAGTTGTCTCCTCTTCGTTGTCCATAAAAAGAAGCTTCCCAAGAAGGCCCCAAGAGGCAACCATCGACTTGTTGTTGTTTTAAGGTTTTTGATATTCTCGCCTGTTTGGCTTCCCGAGGCTCCAAGAGGCCCCCAAGACCCCCAGGACGCCCCAAGAGGCCTCCAAGAGGCTTCCCACGAAGTCCCCAAGAGGCAAGCAGCATCGATTTCCTTTAGGTTTTGGAGCGTTATCGATGTTCTCGCCTGCTCAGCTTCCCGTAGCTCCAAGACGGCCCAAGATGTCCCAAAACACCATCCCGAAACTACCCAAGAGGCCACCCAGACGGCCCCAAGGCAGTCCCAGCCCAGCCAAAGGCCGCCCAAGACGGCGCAACGAGACCTTCCGACGGCCCCCAGGGGACACCAAGGATTCTCCAAGACAGCCCCCAGCGGGCCCCACGACCCCCCCAAGAGAGCCCAAAGACGCCCCTCCTCCTCCTCCTCCTCCTCCTCCTCCTCCTCCTTCCCTACGCTCGTCTCCTCAGCCGTTCTGGCTCAGGCGTCTTTCCTGAGCTTGCAGCAGCATACCTCTTCAGAGCGGCCACGTGCTGCTGCGAGCCTTTCTTCAGGTGAGCTCCTGCTGGAGCAGTCAGCGAGCCCCCGCGGGGGCACATGAGCAATGAGGGGCCCGTGCTCCCTGGCCCGAAGCAACCGTTCTGGGCCTGCGGAGGCTGCGGCCTCAACACCAACTGGGCCTCGCGGATCCAGTGCAGGTGCGGCAAGTCAGCCCCCCAGCGGGTGGTGTCAGCCGCGAAGCAGAATGCGAAGAAGAATGATGGCAACGGTAATGGGCGGTCTCCTCCTGCTGGGCGTCGTAACCCTGGTGTCGGAGGCGGCAACAATGACAAGCTGCAGAGACAGCTTGACGCCCTTCAGAAGAAGTACGACAAGCTGGCGTCCTCTACGGCCTCCACAGCAGCCCCAGCAGGCGGTGCTGGAGATGAGCCCAAGGAGGACGCCAAAGAAAAGCAGATTCGTGACAGTATCAAAAACCTCGAGACCGCCATCAAGGCTGTGGGTAAGCTCAGCGACGGTGGCGGCGCGGCCAAGGCCTCCCTGGAGACGCAGCTTCAGGAGGCCAGGAAGGCCCTCTCGGAGTGCAAGCCGGCGCCCACGCAGCACACCAACACGGGTCACAAGTTGGCACGCATGGTGGCGAAGCGCAAGCAGCTCGGACAGGACGAGACCGAACAGCTTCAGATTTTGCAGCAGGCACAGGAGAAGCTTGATTCGATCCGAGCACAACAAACTGTGTGTGACAAAGAGATTAAAGAGCTCAACCGTCAGCTTGTGCTCAATATTCCTGGTAATTTGGGTCATGCCCCACTCAATCTCGAAGAAGCTCAACCAGGTGCTGATAAGGATGCGGTCTCGGCCATGCTCCAGTCAGACGTTTTCCAGAAGTACAAGCAGTTTCTCGAGGAGCAGCAGGTCAGAGCGGCATCGGCTGCGACGACCACGGCGGCTTCCTCTCCCTTTGATGGTGCTGGTGATGCAGCTATGCCTCAGGCTCAGCAACCACAAGCACCACCTCAAGCTCGATCACCCTTCGCCAATAACGAATGGGTGGACGCATCAGACGAACCCGAGCCTGTCGACGAGGACGACCCAGACGTGCAGGAGCTCTTTTACAGCGCCCAGCGCATTGAGAAGCGGGAGTGGGGCATCAAGTTGCAGGAGATCCTGGCCAAGCGCCGGCGGCGCTCCTAGCAGTAGTAGTGAAGTGATGCCTCTGTGCTGCGGCCTGCCCCTGTCTAGGTTTGGCCTTCCAGTGCCTCCTCCCCCTCCTCCTTCGGACTCCTCTTTGGGCACGACGGGCAGCGAGCTCTTTGAGACGTACAACGGAAACTCTTGGCCCACATTGCGAGAACGGTTGACTACCACTTCCGCTCTTATTGTGTTGGCACAGGAGATCGGATTCACCCTTGACGAGGAGGGTGACAAGTGCGACGCAGTAGGGAAGCTGGGCTGGCGCATGCTTGCAGCACCTGCTGTTCCAGGATTGTCTGGGAAACCAAAATGGGGAGCGGCCGTCTTGGTCCGGCAGCACTTGGGCCTCAGGTGGCCTGCGGATGGATCTGGCATCGTTGAGTACGGTCGGGTCCTTAAAGTCATCGTCGACATTCCGTCCTGGCCCCCCCTCGTTGTTTTGTCGGTTTACCTGAAATTAGGCACTGGGCTTTGCGAGCTCAACCTGAAGTTACTTAAGAAAATCGGACAGGCCTTACAGCACGAGCACCTCTTTTTGGCGGGCGGAGACTGGAATTTGGCTCCCAGCCTTATCGAGTCCGCTGGCCTTCCCCGCCGCCTTGAGGCGGTCTTGTTCGTGCCTAAGGAACACACGTGTGTCAGCTCCTCCTCCTTCACTACCTTAGACTATTTCTTGGCCTCGAACAGTTTCTCGAGGGCGGTCGAGGGCGTGAAGGCTGTGTTGACCTGGACGGGGCGGCCCCACAGGCCAGTTCAGTTGCAGCTTCGTGATCGCGCTGTCTCGCTGTACCAGTTAACTTTCAGGTCGCACCAACGACTGCCCTGTGAGCTGCCTGTGGGGCCGTCCCCCTGCCCGCAGAATTGGAGCATGGCTCGCGACATCGCTGAGTGTGCGGCCGACGCGGCTACCTCGGCCCCCGTCGGCGAGGCTTGGGAACTTCTGAGCCAAGCGCGGGTTTACTTTTCTAACGCCCTTGAGCTTGAGCTCGAGTCTTTTACGGGTGTCCCAGTTACCAGCAAGGGCCACAAGGGTTCAAGGTTGAAGGCGCGTTGGGTTCCCATCTTCTCTCGTCCCAAAGATAACGCTACGAACCTGATCCACGTTGGTTGGGAATGGTTGGCCCAGCAGCTCCGTGAAACCCTCGGGGCCTGTCGCCGCCTCCAGGAGGCGGAGCATGGAATCGGTCAGGACCCTACTAAGCTCGATCAATTGTGTCAGGACGTGAATCAGCAGATGCAACTTGTTGTAGCTCAGCCGTGCCCTGGAGAGGGACTCAGCGCGCGCTTGGACAGCACGATTGCACAGGCTCGTGAGCTAGTGCGCCGAGGGTCCGCCTCTTCAGCCACGTGGTTGACCGACCTAGACGAGTTCCTCCAGTCTTGGGAGGACGACTACGATGAGGCTGTCAAGGCCATCCAGAAGGGGAGGCAGGACCCATGGGACGAATGGCAGGAGAAGGCTTTAAGGGGAGGGGCTCGGGCTATGCACCGCCTTACCAAACTGAAACGTCGGTGGACCCCTACCACGATCGAAACCCACCCTGGCATTTTCTCGGCCAACCCTCGGGACCTGCTCGAGGCGGAAAGCGAGGCGCTGGCTAAATTTTGGCATGCCAGCATTGCGCCGTCCACCGTGTGGGTTCCCAATCGGAATCATCTTCCGCGGCCGACTGCAGGAGATATCCGCAGCGCCAGCGCCAGCTTCTCGGCGCTCACCTCGCAGTCGCTCGACGGGCTGCACCCGCGGCAGCTCTCTCTGGTCTCGGATGCGGCCCTCGACACCTTCGGCGCCCTCGTCCAGGCTATTGAATCGTTGGGGCTGTTCCCCAAACAGTTGTTCTGGTTACTCTTTCCCTTGTTGGAGAAACCCAAAGGTGGGCTCCGCCCCATTCTGTTATGCGCTGGGCCCGTTCGTGTCTGGGAGCGGCTCCGCAGGCCCTGGCTTACCGACTTTAACGATCGTTTTCCCCGACGTTTTTGGGCTTTCGGTCCTGGCCGCAGCCCTGAGGGTGCCGCGTGGCATCAGGCGGCTGCCTGCGAAGTGGCGGCCCAGACGGGCCAAGTCTCCCTCGGGGTCATTTGGGACGGCACCAAATACTACGAAAGTTTCGATTTAGTTTTGCTCAGGGATCGTGCTCTGAAGTTTGGGTTCCAGGAAGTCATCGTTAAAACCACGTTTAACTTCTGGCGAGGACCCCGAATCGTTAGGCTCGGCAGCATGTATGGCACGATCCCCTACTTCGCCACGTCGGGCCTGCCCGCTGGCGATGGATTTAACGACCTGTTTGTCCGTGTGTACAGCATCGAGGCCTTCGACGGCTACACGCTTGCCAACCCCCTTCGTCCCTCTCTCCTCCTACGTTGATGACGATGCTATGACGACGCAGGCGGATACGGAACAGGAGGCCCTCAGTCGTATGGTCCAGGCTTGTGCGCACATGTACGCTATTTTCCGCGACAGTTTGAAGGTCGGCCTCCAGGCGGATAAATTCACAACCTTCGGAAGCTCTCTTTCGCTGGCCAGAAAGCTCGGCACTCTTCTCGGCCAGAAGGCTGGTCTCGTCACGAACAGTACCGTGTCTCTCGGCACTGATCTTGCCCCTGGTCAGGTGAGGTCGGCTCGTAACGCTCTTTGGAAACGCCGGTCTCGTTTTGATTCCATGTTCAAGCGTCATAAGAAGTTGCAGAAGATGAGGAGCCGACTTCCACGACAGAAGGGTCGCATAGGGAAGATTTATGTTGCAGGCGTGGCTCCTGCCGCTACTTTCGGCTCGTCCGTTGTTGGATTGAGCGACTGGGAACTGTCTCAGGCCAGACGCGTCCTCCTCTCCTACAAACCCCCCTACCACCGCGGTTGCTCCCTCACGGCCAAACTTGCCTTGCACGGAGACCCCGTTGATCGTGCGAGTGTGGCCCCTGCGGTTCATTGGGCCACTATCGTTTGGACGGCCATCACTTCTCCCTCGACCTCGTATTATTCGGTCAAGGAAGTTTGTCAGATGTGGTGCCGAGTGCCGTTCGACCAAGATGTGAGTTGGAAGAGCTCGAGGGGGCCCATCCAGAGAATGCATTTGTGCTTGTTTCGTGTGGGATGGTGCGCCACGTCTGCTCTCACTTGGGAGGATGACTACGGTCGCGAAGTGCACCTAGGTTTCAACTCCCCCAGCATGGTGAGTCATTTGCTTAGGTTGGCCACCCAGCGCAGTTTAGAACGGAAGCTGGCTTCGGATCTCCTGAATTTTCCTGGTCCTCGTGTGACCCTTGACCCGCTGCAAAAACTCCTGGGGCCCAAGTCCAAGGTTTTGAGCGATCGGGAAAAATACCTTGCCAGCTCAGTTTTTTGTAGCGGAGTCTGGACCCGCGCGCGAGCTCGCGCCGCAGGATACCAGAGCGATGGTAGATGCCCCTTGTGCGGTGAGGTCGACAGCATCAGACACCGCGGGTGGCTTTGTCAGCACGAGACTGCACGGGCTGCTCGTGCCGAAGCTGTTGGAGAACAGCTAGAGCTGCTACAGGAGGCCCTGGAAAGTGAAGATCGGTTTTTATGGGATGAGCTCAAACTCGAACACCCCGAAACCCTCCACCCTCCTCCGTCTAACAACCCCGCCCCCACCCTTTACTCGGCCGAGGGGGCCGAGATAGCGCGGGGGTCCGTCGACTTGCGAGGGTGCGAAGTGTGTATGGACGGATCCTGTCTCCGTCACTCGGTGCGCGAACTTAGCCGCGCTTCTTATGCTTGGGTGTTGCTAGGCCCAGGTGAAACTATTGTGGCCTACGCTAAAGGAACTGTGTGGGGCGTTCTTCCCCAGACGCCGCAGGCAGCCGAGCACCAAGCCATGGCCTGCCTGCCCATCTATGTAGAGTACACGGGTACACGTATCAGCGATTGCATGACTGTGGTCAAGCTCTGCCTCTCCAGCCCGACGCACCAGACGTCGGCCAAGCACCGTTACGCAGGAATGCGACGAGGGGCGTTACTTCATGAAAAACGTGATCATGACATTGTTGTGCAGCACGCACCAGCGCATCGATCGAAAGTGGTTATCGATTCGCTCTCGCCCGTGGACAAGAGGATCGCCGTTGGCAACAGTCTCGCCGACTCGCTCGCCAAGCACGCCCTCTCTCTCCACCCCCGTCCCTCGAACATGAATTCGGACATCATCGATTCGAATTTAGTCAAGCTGAAGTTTGCCGCCAGAGTTTTGGCCAAAGTTTTGTGCGTTTTCGAGGTCGAACGGTTTGAACGCTCTCCTTCGGGCCCTCGCGCACGCTTCCTCAAATCAGGGGGTTGGCACGCGTGGGAACCCCTAGAGGAAGGACGAGCGCGTTGCTTGAGATGCCTTGCCTCTTGGAAAGACCCTTCCACCAGGCCCATGATCGGCTGCCCTGGTCCCAGC